GTTTGGATATGGGCTCCGGAACGAAAACGGCAACCGTCTTGTTGGGCTTCTCTCCGCCGCACGACTTTTCCATGGAAATTCCATCTTTATGAAGAAGGAACATCGCCGGTGGACATGGGAATCGCCCAACGGAACGACCCACGCGGAGATCGACCACATTCTCACCAACCGAAGGTGGAGCTTACTCGATGTCTCTGTAGTTCCATCCTTCTGTAGTGGCTCCGATCACCGCCTCCTTCGAGCGAAGATACGACTCAGCCGAAGGCTGGAAAAGAAAGTCTGTCATAGTGCCGCGAGAAGGAAGGAAGTTGTTTATGACGGTAACAGGCTGGAAGAGCTCATATCAAGTTGTGACTGGCCCATCGAGGAGGACCCAACGTACGACTACGACCGGCTTCTGAAAGGATTGCGAGCCTGCGGAGAATGCGCCTCAGTGACTTCTGAGAAGAACTTGGACCGCATCTCGAAGACCACCAAGGAATTGCTCGAAAGAAGAAAATCATTGAGGCAGGATCCGAATGCAACTCATCTCGAGCGACTGATTGCCAACACCAGTTGCAGAACAGCTTTGCAAGAGGATCTCAGGAAGTACAGGCAAGCCAAGATACTGGAAGCAGCAGAAAGAAGACGAAGTCTCAAGAAGTGCCGAAGGGACCTCTGCGAATATCACGTACCGCTGGCTGCACTACTGAACGAAGACAGGACTCCGACTTCTTCCCGATACAAGATGGAATCTATCGCGAAGAACTTCTACACCAACCTCTTCCGCTCATCAACACCCGTGCAGATGCCCGTTGTTCCCACTGGAGAAGTACCACCACGAATTCTACCTGCTGAAGTGCGTATCGCGATACAGACCATGAAGACGTCCACGGCTCCAGGACCAGATCATCTTTCCGTCGAACTTCTGCGAGCCGGAGGACACCGTCTACACGAGATTCTAGCGTCGCATTTGACATCTTACCTTCAGAAGGAGAAGATTCCCGACCAGTGGAGAACGTCTAGAACCGTCCTTCTCTTCAAGAAGGGTGAACGGGAGGATCTTCGGAACTATCGTCCAATATGCTTGCTGAGTGTGCTGTACAAGCTTTTCACGAAGATTATCCTCGCTCGCATATCAAGGACACTGGATGAAGCCCAACCCCAAGAACAAGCTGGATTTCGCAAAGGATTCAGCTGCATGGACCACATCCAGACCGTTTCGAGGGTCATAGAAGTCTGCCGGGAGTACCGACTGCCTCTCGTCCTAACCTTTGTCGACTACGAGAAAGCCTTTGACAGCGTCGAAACCAACGCCATCCTGTCTGCGCTAGTCGATCAAGGAGTGGACCCAGCTTACGTGAGGACACTAGCCGACTGCTACAAGGACTGTACAACGACGATGCAGCTATTCCATCGCCCCCTGACCATACCAATCGGGAAGGGGGTCTGACAAGGCGACACAATCTCGCCGAAGCTGTTCACCGCGGCCTTGCAGTGGGTGATGAAGTCACTGGACTGGGACGAGAGAGGCATACGAGTTGATGGGAGATTCCTGTCCAACCTTCGTTTTGCGGACGACATCGTTCTCTTCTCGAGCAGTATCACCGAAGCAGAGACGATGCTGAAGGAACTAAACGAAGTAGGGAAGAAGATCGGACTGCGAATAAATCGGAAGAAGACTCAGTTCATGAAGAACGCCCTTTGCGAAGATGCAGAAATGGAATTGGAAGGCACCCCGATTATGGAGACGTCTTCCTACGTGTATCTCGGACGTTCGATGAACATGGAGAACGACTTGAGGGAAGAACTCAACAGGAGAAGAAGAGCAGCCTGGGCCGCCTTCGGGCCCCTGAAGGAAGCCACCGACCAACTGACAGACCCGGAGCTTCGTGCCCACCTGTTCGACTCAACCGTTCTCCCGGCGCTCTGTTACGCAGCTGAGACTTGGGCCGACACTGTAGCCACGTCGAAAGCTCTACGGACCACCCACAGAGCGCTCGAGCGCAGTCTTCTGAAGATGACCCGACGCAATCAACATCTAGTCGGACTTCGCAGCACGGATATGAGAAGAATGTCCCGTCTTCGTGACCCAGCGGAATACGTCGCGAAAGCCAAACACCGATGGGCCGGTCACATAATGAGAAGAACAGATGACAGATGGACACTAAGAACATCGGAGTGGATTCCTCGCGAAGCCAAACGTCCCCGAGGAAGACCTCCAACGAGATGGGCAGACGTGTTCGTGGAACGGATGGACCAGCTGAGAAATCAGCTGGATACGATTTTTGCACCTGGAACTCGTGGACGCAGCCACCGACGTCAGCCAAGAAGATCGTGGATGTCAGAAGCGAGGGACAGGGAAAAATGGAAACTTCTGAGCTGGGGCCCGCACGTCACGTGAAGCCGGGCCATCTAAGTATCTAAGTAAGTAAGTAAGATGTGCTTCAGGTGCCGGCAGCCATTCAAGACCTCAAAAAGAAAGAAGGTGAAACGGAAAAGGTCAAGCAGAGTGAGTCAATGCAAACTGTGGTAGGCATAGAAAAGACTGCTTTTCAAAGAGATACTTTGCAGCCCCAGCAATACAATCCAAGGCGGACCGGAGCGCTGTTCAAAACTTGAACAACTTTGTGTCGGGATTACCCAGTTCACATTCAAGGGACGGAGACGTGGAACTTAGAGGTCAGCAAAATGAGTTGCGATTTCTAGATTATGTTCAATCACTCTCTTGTCCGGATCCGGGTGTTTTTTATAGGAAGCCCAATGAAAATTTAGGGGAATTGACAAGAAAATTTAAGAGAAAGTATGCTAAAGTCATCACGGACACAGACACCCTTGTAGATATACTAAGTGATAATCACTTGGGTGGGCAGGCAAAGAATGTAATGAGTACATTAACACCTACAACAAGAAATAAGGGGTTTGATGAAGTGATTGAAGAATTGGGAAAATTGCTAGCAGGGGATAGCTAGTAGGAGGGCCATGGCTGAGCTAAGGTCTCTCAGGATCAGACCATACCAAGATGTCGCAGAATTTTGCGTTGCCTTGGAGAAGATAGGTAGATCGGCTCATCCAGACAGAGCCATGGAGGAAAACTCGGTGGAGTACGCCGAGATCCTTCAGGATAACTTAAGGGATTGGCCCGAATACGTTCAGTTGGTAGCAGCGTTACATAGGGTACCGCCTAGCGAAGCATAAAGCGAAGTAAAGCTACTGGCGATTAGTATACAGAGAGCAAAAGAAATCTGGGAAAGGAAGCTGCGCACCGTTACGAACAAGACGGGCGGCTGGAAAGAACCACAAGTACATAGCACAGTAAACTACGATGATATAAGGGTGGAGAGGCGACCAAGTACTTCGGACTTCCAGTACACACAACAAGGCAAGGAAATGCAAACCGAGGAGGAGAGACACGCGTATGCAGGGATCTCGAAACAGAGGACGGAACCCAGATGCTTCAACTGCCTCGAAACAGGGCATTTTGCAAGAGATTGCCCACAAAAGCAGAACATTGGAAGAGTGGCGCAACCCTCAGATGGGAACGATGTGTCTGAGATCATCAATCATATACGAAGCTGCAAAGTCGGCATTAATGAGAGCACAAAGAGGGGCATCGAACAGATAGGAGAACCAATCCTACGAGAAAGGGTAAAAGGATACAATGATAGAGTTAGAGAAAGCATGAAAAGAAGTTATGACAACAAACATAAGGTGGACCCAGGCCGGCATCCTAAAGTAGGAGACGGGGTATACGCCTGGCACCAAGTGAGAAAGGCAAAAGCACTCATCCAAAACTTATTTCGGATTGGGCTGGTCCATTTAGAGTCCTGAATACTAGCGATAATTCAGCCCTAATAACGCGCATAGGGGAGAATACGGATCCTATACGAATACAGTTCAAAAAGCTAAAAGTAGTCACAAGTTACATACCTAATGACAGAGTCGACATCCACACAATGAGGGGGAAAAGGGGTAGAAAAGGAAGAGTTTTATTGAGTAAAATATGCAAAGTCAAAGCTATATATATATATATTATATCTAAAACTCAAATGCTGTACATTTGTTTGTTAGGATGTTTGTGGCTTATAGACTCTTTCGTAAGTGATCCGTAAAGGCTGAATTTTGTTCCCTTATAAATGAGACACGGCGCAAAAGATAGGCTACTTTTCGCGACAATTCGTTGGGTCCTTCTATCGATTTATTGATTTGTTTACTTACATCTGAGAAAATGAAAGGTATCAGTCATTCCTCCAAGTTAAGTGGCAAGGGGCGGTGGAGACCACTTACATCTTGCGGTGAGGAGGATGCGGTGTCACGAAGCTAGGCGGTCAAGAAAGAAAGCGATTTCACCATGGATACTACAGGAGCGCCTCAAGTGAACTTGGAGCCGAAGCAGGATAAGAAGAAAGGATATGAATTAGAGAAAATGGGCGAATGGTAAGCCATAAGACAATTTCGAAAAGGCACTATGCCGGGCCACTTTGCACCCTCAGCCAGGGCGGAACCGGGGACGGCAGCTAGTAGGGTATAAAATCTAAAGTTTATTTTCCGCTGAAAAACCTTTTTGCCAAAGTCAAGGAGCTCTTATAAGAAAGCGTTATAATTATGTTTTTGCATTTTACCTAAACCACCGATCAGTAGTTAATCATTTGATTTGGCAAGAGGAAAGCAGTTCAACACTTCTTGCACTTCACTCTAAACCACCAATGGTGCATTTTGATAGGAGAAAAACAGTTCAACACTCCTTGCATGTTAATCTAAACCACCAATCGGTAAAACATTTCTATTTGAGAACGAGGAAAGCAGTTCATAAATGTTGTTCAAATGTTTATAGCAGATTTTTCCACTGCGCGAGCAGGAGGAAATTGAGTAGCCAGTAGCACGAGTTCAGAACTCTGCGAACAGAACTGGCACATTAGTTTTATATAGATGGCTAATAAATACGAAATAACATGTGTTACCTAAGTGTGATTAAAGGAGCAATCATGCGTGGCATAAAGAAATGGCCGTTCCCAACCAACCTCGTAACAGCCGGCGACCAAAATCCTTTTTCAAGACACGCAGAGGTGAAATGACCTGGCATACCAAGACCATCGCTCACTTGCAGCGAGGAGTATAGAATTTCGTCGATGCCATATACCTTGGAAATGCAGCTTTCGAAAACCCGTTTAAAAATAACATAACAGAGAATTGACCTTCTTGTTGTTGAAGAGATGCATGATGGTGCTAAGGTTCACCGTGGAGATCATCCATTCTACAGCTGCTCGGGATAAAGAAACCTGTGCAGTTCCTTTAGCAAATTTTAGAACGCCATTCGAGCGCGATTGTTCTGTCGCCGATTCTGAGCATAGGACAATAAAACATAGGTACCACTACTTCTCAGTCGACCATCGGCTACATAATGAGTGCAGTTTGTACTATCGAGGAGATTTTCTCTGTTGTTGCTGCAGCGACTCTTAAAGGCAGTGTCCCGGCAAATTTTGCATTTTCATCTTTTCGGGCCCGATCCGTAGATCCCGAATCTGAGCTTTGAAACAGGTGAAAAGACCTTATTTCTCGGCGTTTACCCAATTTTCAAAAGGCAGTTCGGACGAAAGTTTTAGAAAGTTGGGAGGCCCTGGCACGGAGACCCCGCTGACTGCAATTTTTACTTTAGATAGCATGCACAATGCGAAAGAGAGGACGTGAGGTCCCACGCCGAATGATTAAAAATGACTTCGGAGTAACGAACTTGCTCTTGCTGGTTTTTTGACAGAGCGCTGATTGAAAAAAATGTTGCGTCAAACGTTCACAAACAATCGTTGCTTCTCAAAAGCACAGTTGTGCTGCGTGGTCGCATGCACGCAGGAATTCCTCCAGGCCGCGCGGTCCGATAAAACTAGAACAGCGATGACATCTCCGCCACTCAAAATGCTACTTTTGCTTAGCGTACACGCAAAACTGCTTGCCTATAGTCAGAACCGAACTTCTACTATGCCTTTTTGAAGTCATGGTCAAATTAAACTTAGTAAGCGCTGCAGAAAAGAATGTTTCCGCTGTATACTTGAGGTTCAGTTTTTGTCTTCAAAGTATTTACGTAATAGCTCCAGCTGTTCTTCAAAAGAAAAACTGCGCAATCTTTTCATTTAGCAAAATAAGGGATGGTGCCAGGACTTACCGCTTTTGATACCTTGTTGGAGTTTGTATTCTGAGAAAAACTCTAGAAAGCCCAAGAATTAAAATGATTCCGTTCGATATTAAAAGTCAGTTTTTCGAGAACTACTGTAGCACGCAATCTTTTCCGTAAAAAGTGCGTGTCAAGTTGAGCTGTTGTTCAAAATTCTTTTCCAACACGGGGTCAAATATGCCAAAGTAGTGCTGTAAGAGAATCATAAACGTTGATGCAACAGAGCTCTCCAATTTTTTCTCATTGTAGCAATAATTGTGCGTTTAGTTATTTATTTAGCAATTTTAGTTACATAATGAGATTAAGAGTTACCGAGACATGCAATTTTTGACGAAAAGCGATAATAGATTTTTTTTTGAGTGCGTCCAATAGTTTTAGCTCTTGAGCTCGATATAATACAAGGTTTGTTCATGTTTAATACATGTTTTCTAAACTTCGATTTTAGATGATTCCTCTTCAAAACAGTGAGATTATGAGATTATTATTTGTTAGCAATTTTAGTTACATAATGAGATTAAGAGTTACCGAGACATGCAATTTTTGACGAAAAGCGATAATAGATTTTTTTTGAGTGCGTCCAATAGTTTTAGCTCTTGAGCTCGATATAATACAAGGTTTGTTCATGTTTAATACATGTTTTCTAAACTTCGATTTTAGATGATTCCTCTTCAAAACAGTCTTTCTGAGAGCATAAAAAACATAATATCATAAACAGCAAACCTTCAGCTGTAACGTACACTTTTGCATAATTGCACTCACAAAGGAAAGATTTTTTGGCCCAACAAAAACATTTCTGGAACCATCTGGTTTGAGAAAGCATAACTTGGTCCCAGTACTGGAATGGAGCAATCTTGCTCACTACTCATTACTCATTACGAGTATAGCCGCTGCTTGATTGAATAGTAGTGAGGAACTTGAATTTTGAGGTAATTTTGAGGTCTCTGCGAAAAATATTGACGAGAAAGCAAAAGCACCCTTTTAGTACTCTAAGCTAAATTACAGTTCTAAATTTTTCTAATTTTTCCCCGCCTGAAAAACGAGGAAATCCACCGTATTACTCCATTAGTAGTTTCACTCTATCACTCTACCTGCGCAAATGGGAAGTTCTGCAATCACTTTTCACCCAAACCTTTTATACAGCTTAGAACAGTCCCAACAATCAACCAAGGTTGAGTCAAAGGTTTTCGTCTCAGAATTTTTCCAAAATCTAGCTTCGATGAGCGTCTTGTAGCAGAAACATTAACAATCATATCACATATTTTGAAACAAATCTGAGAATTTTGTGAATAGAGTAAATACAATGAAAAAAAAAATTTGAGTTCCTCATATTTGAAGGCATGGAGGCAAGCTTTAGTTTGAACAAAGTCTTCCAGAGACGTAAGTATAAATAAGAAACCAAAAGAAGACACTGCAAAGGGTTTCAGGAAGAACGCTTTCACTTTGAAAACTAGCGCTTGAAAGAGATAAGTAGGAAAAACGTGCATCAATTATCAATCAAGTTGCAGTTTTGCTTAAAAAAAAGAGTGTGAAAATATACCCTATTTTCCGGTTTATAAGCCGCACCTTATATAAGCCGCACCCGCCGCAGCGAACAATGGCGCGAAAGAGCCTTCGAAAAGAAAGTTTTGATCTAACAAACTGAAAACTCGCTGCATTTTGTGACTGCTTTTTATTGCGCATGTTCACGATTTCAGATATTTCTTTATTCTTTCCAGAGATTTGGACGATTTTGGGGTGTTTGGATTGTGTTTTTTCCTCAAGGATACAATGGAGTTGACCGTGTTTTCTTTTGTTTTTAAAGATGTTACTAAGGTTAAAGCTGCTGCTATTTTATTCGATTTTAATGATTGTTGATGATGACGTTGATGTTTCAGTGGTGCTTTCAATGCCTCCACAAGAAAGAGCGAAAACAGAAAGTTACAATCAGGCTATTAGGTAAAATAGGTAGTTGCCTGCTTGCGCGGCTTCGCACATCGCGACCATCATCTCGCATCAGCCCGCGCGCGACGAAAATAATTGCGGCTTATACGCCGGAAAATAGGGTAATTTAGGTTGTCCCGAAAGTTTTGTCCGTTTTTTTCGAAACACTATAAAACCACGTGCAATAAGACCTGAAAGAGTTTCAGCATTCATTTGATGCAGCCTTTCCTTCCCTCTCTTATGGATATATTAGCTGGCTTACCCGGCTCCGCCGTATCCGGACCAAACTTGGCACACATACACTTCGGGTCCCGGCGGGTGTCACAGTCCACTTTTCGTTATCGATCGATGTCGATTTTACCGATTTTTATCGATTTTTTTGCAGAGTTCACCTACAGGGCTAGGAGTTGGCACAGGAGGGAAGTGAGCATGGGGATTCCGAACACAATATTGGTTTTCAGGATTATCGATTACTTTTATTGATTTTATCGATTTTTTGTAAATTTTGACATGCGAGGCTGGGATTTTGCACAGGGGGTAATCGAGCATGCTGATTACGAACACAATATTAGTTTTCAGGATCGTCCCTTACTTTTATCGATTTTATCGATTTTTTTTTGTGAAGTTTGACCTGCGGGGCTGGGAGTTTGCACAGGGGGGTAATCGAGCATGCAGATTACGAATACAATATTAGTTTCAAGATCGTCCATTACTTTTATCGATTTTATCGATTTTTTGAAAATTTGAGCTAGGGGGCTGGAATTTGGCACAGGGGTGTAATCGAGCATGCTGTTCACCCCCCTTGGGGATGATCAGCATGCTCGATTACCCCCCTGTGCCAACTCCCAGCCCCCTAGCTCAAACTTTGCAAAAAAATCGATAAAATCGATAAAAGTAATCGATAATCCCGAAAACCAATATTGTATTCGGAATCCCCATGCTCGATTACCCCCCCCCCCGTGCGAACTCCCAGCCCCGTAGCTCAAACTTTGCAAAAAATCGATAAAATCGATAAAAGTAATCGATAATCCTGAAAACCAATATTGTATTCGGAATCCCCATGCTCGATTACCCCCCTGTGCCAAGTCCCAGCCCCGTAGCTCAAACTTTGCAAAAAGAAATCGATAAAAATCGATAAAATCGATATCGATCGATGACGAAAAGTAGCCTATGACACCCGCCGGAACCCGTAGTGTATGTGTGCCAAGTTTGGTCCGGATCGGTTCAGAAATGGAATTTTCTATTCGGAACATACGTACATACAGACAGACATACAGACAGACAGACAAACAGACATTCAGCTTTATATATAAGATTTTCGAGCCAAAATCTTGGACATTTCTTTTGATTATTGCCAAAATTCTCCACATGTCAATTTTATCTGCTCCAAGTTAGGCTAATATTTAAAAACTTCATTCCAAAGTTTGGGAAAGGTTTAAGTATGCGCCAACTAGAGCAACTCTCGGATTGCAAAGCAGTATGTTTAGATTTTTTTAATCTGCTGTCTTTGGTGTTAAAAAATTAATTCTGAGGTCTCGATTTTTGGCTAAGTCATGAAACACGCAACTGCAGCAAATATAAATAAGAAAGCCTCTAAAGTTCCTGCTAATTAAAGCATGATTCTTATTAAACATTATTTATGCAACATAACCAAGTTTGATTTGCTTTGAAAAAGCAGCTTTTTGGAATTTTTGGTACTTTTACGTGATAAACGTGATCAATGAGCCGCGGTTTTTATTAAATAAATAGTTATAACGGACTTGGTAAACGTGGCCCTTGTGATCTAAATCGAATACGATGTAGCCAAAGGTTTGCTCTACCTAACAGCTACCAGCGCTCTTTGGAAGCATGTGAATAAAGATTTTTAAAATTCAGTAAATATTTGGCGTTACTGCTGAGCTGCTCAAAAATCCGTAGCGATAACTTTGCAAAGACAGGGTAAATTAGAGAGCAAGTATAGCACTAAGAAAGAGGATAAAAATCTGAGTCATACGGTTCCCAAGTCGTCCATGGACATATATTCTGTGAGTTTTAGTAAGCAATGAAAAAAACGGACAAAACTTTCGGGACAACCTAATATTAGGTTGTTCTGAAAGTAATGTCGCTTTTTTCAAACGAGCGCTACATCTGGTGAAACAAAGAGGTAAGAGGTTTTGGTAGCATTTGATGCAACATTTCATTCTTTTTCTAACGGTTGCCACTATATAGCCACTGCATAAAATCTAATAACCTTTCGAAAAATTATCAAACTCTGC